TGTTGTAAATAAAAAATTTTATATTTAGCTTAATTACGTACGCTAATTTAGTTACATAGTTACCGTAGAAACCGGGTGGGCGGCAAAGGCATTTGTCTTCCCGCACCCCCCTCAATAATTTTTCAAATGAATAATTTTGAAAAAGTTGACTGAAAAAATGACTTTAAAAAAAAGGTCCTTAAAACTATCTGGGGGTAATATTGCCCCCCAATATAATTTTTGCTCCTACGGCCCTGTTACACCCATATGAAATTCTTCTATTTTAAAAATTCCTAGAATTCCTCAAAGAAGCGCCATTTTAAACCATTTCCTTAAGTTCAGATAAAAATGGATAAACTCAAACCTAAGTAATATTTAAGAATGTCGATCACGGCAACAGTTAGGAGGGCAATGGGATGGGGGCTTATATAGAAACTTTGTCCTCTCGTATTCTTTTACAATATTTAACATGCACGGTATATCTGGCATATCCAGACCCGGCCGGATATGTAAAAAATCATATCCGCTACACCTCTAGTTAAAACTAGGAAACAATCATTAGAACTAAAGCACAACAAAAAGGTTAGCATAATACTTAAAAAGCTGAAGGTTGTATTAGTCAGGAAAACATAAAATGGGAGAGAGTATCAAAGAATAGAAGAGCAAGGAAAAAATTAGATTAATAAAAGCTTTTAATGCATGAAAAGGCAAATACAGCAAAAAGGATGCAACTGTTCCAAATCACGAGTCATGCAAGAATGAGTTTTGGTTGATGGAACTAGCTGTAAAAGCTCCTTTGAGCAGCGACTATGATTGTATTTGTAGAAAATAGAAAGAGATGCAACTTTACAAAGATGGGAGAAGGGCTTAAGCTTGGCAGATATAGCAGGTCCAACTACCTCTACAATATGTTTTTGGATTGTTTTTAAATCTGAGATTTGTCTGAAAGTGAGAGAACATTATTAGTAGAACCAGCCCAAATATGATATTCCATACAAGAACAAATAGATTTTTAGAGGTTGAGAACGGAATCAGAAGTAAGAAAATTAAGAACACGATTAAGAGAAGCTACATTAACAGATGCTAAAATATACATATTTAAACATTTAGGTTGCCTAAAATATGATAATTTTAGGCAACCTAAATGTTTAAAGTATTTTTGTTGCTATTGTTCATTAAGATAATTGTAATAGTTTGCATATTGTTTCAAGTCTCAGCTTCTGATTTAAAATAAAGAAAAAAAAGAAAAAATAAATCATGCACAGAAATGGAAATTCCTTTTGAATATTTTTGAATATTTTTTTACATCAAACCAATCAACTGTATAAGAGTTTGCGATAAATTTAGCCAATAGTGTAAGTTCATTTGATGGAGCTACAGTAGATATAGGGGCAAAACACGATTTGCAAGTGTCAACCTCCTTGCATGGTTTAGCCGCCCAAGCAATCTGGATTCAAACCATGCTGTTATTGCTGGTTCACCAGCAATAACAACAAAGTTGACAATGGGTGGCTGCAATAGCTTTGAAATAGATTTGCCAATAGGTCCATTAAATGAATGTGGTCTAGTTGTTGCACCATCTAAGGAACTAAATAGACGTCGCAAAGGAAGCTCATTCAGATGTAAGAGACAAATGGACCAGTAAAGTGGACAGCCAAGTTCAATTTCCATTCTGCGTTTAACTCCATTATTTAAACCAGTGTTAATTTTTGTTGAATCTGAACCAATACAAACAAGATTAGTACAGTCTATTGTATCAAGAATTGATTCTGCAATGGATTTAGCTGTACCACTTACTAGAGAAGAATGGTCAATGTATCTTGATCTGTAGGAAAATTATGCTCTATTGCTGATACCTTCATATTAAGAGGGAGCAGCAAGATGAAAACTCTTTGCATTTACATGAACAAATATCAAACAGTTTATTAAGATTAGTTTCTATTCTTTTTTGAGTGTTGCAGATTTTGATCGCGTCACTTTCTGAACTTCACCTATATACTTTTCCAACTGGATTTCTATCCCTCGAAGAGTTATTGTAGGGATTGATGCTTTAATCCATACTTGCAAAAGTTTATCAGCCAGTCTTTTACAGACAGTTTGTAGTGGCTCAGTTTCATAATTCTTTTCAATCAAGTATGCCTTGACAATCTGTTTGTGTGTTGGCAAGTAAACGTATGGTAACTCGTGAGCTTCACCAAAAAATATATGATAATTTTTTGCAGCTGCAGATCTTGATGATATTATAATTGTTTCATAGTTTTTGAAACAGATTAGAATTTAAATTAATTTCTGTAAATGCAAAAAACACACAAAAAATTTCAATTAAATATAAAACTACAAGCAATTATGCAGTTTGCATAAACTAATAGTTTAAAGTTTAAACACCAAACATTCACAGAAATTAATGTTTAAAATTGGCCAATTCTTACTGTCGTGAGCGTTATATTAATATAAGGCTCACAAGAGTAAAATTAAGGTATATGAATAATATATATATATATATATATATATATATATATAT